GGACTCTGCTCACACACCTGGGAGCTTTGTTAACGTGTCCCGCGGGGCAGTGTCAGGTCATGCTCAGTGTCCTGCCTCTAAACAACCCCCTTCTTCCTCTCTGTGGCATTTCCCACAACCATCACCTCCTCCTCCAGCTCCACAGCCAGGCCCAGCAGCCAAGCCCAGCTGGCAGCAGTGTGAGGCACAGGGAGAGCTGCAGAGCTGCGTTGGCTGTGCTGTGTGTTTGTGGGGGAGCAGGAGGGCACACAGGAGGCAGGTACAGCGCGGGGCAGCGAGGGCAGCACAGACCCACACTCTTGTAGGACCCACAGACAGGCATTTCTCTCTTCTTCACTTCTCCTCCCATAAAATTAAGAGACAGGTTTTAATGACAGTTTGCTGAAATGTTCACTCCCTGCTGATTTGACATTGAGCAGAAAAAGTGTCTACAAAATCAATTTTTAATAAATGTAAACAACTAAATTATGAATGACAGAAATATCACTGAACAGTTAAATATTAATCACATAATTACTTAAATTAATACTTTTAGTGCAATATTGTGATAGAGAGCTCTACTTCCATAGTGTTGCTGCGCTGGCTGGGCCAGTGTGTGGGGCACTACAGGACCACAGTGCCCCCCCAGCAGAGGGACTTGGGGACAGAGCAGTCTCATGGTGCTTGCCACAGCCCCAGTTGCTTGTTGTCCCACAGGTCCTGCAATACTGGGTGCTCCTCTTAAGACCTCTGGAACCAGATTTATTAAGAAAGAACTTCTGTTTTCTGTTCAAAATCAAGCTGTCAAGAAAATGGCTAAACTGGCCCCAAACCAGAAAGTAACTCACTCCACCCCAAAAATTTTCCTGTCCCAGAGGGCCCTTAAACTTGCTGACAGCAGTGTGTGACGTGCAGAGCCATGGCTGTGCTCAGGGATGGTGCTGGGAAGACCAAGGGTGTTCCAGATGGAGCAGTGGGTGCCAAAAGCCCTGGCTGCTCCTGAGATAGAGTTGGGAGAGTTTAAGAAAGAGATGGTGTGTCATGAGCTCTGCTGTAGGGGCTGAAGTTACTGCCCTTTGGGCCCCCTCTGTGCTCCCACCTCGACAGGTGCTGCAGGGAGCTGGAAAGCTGGTCACCAAGGTTGTGGGGGGTGGGCAGCAGCAGCTGTCTGTAGGTACTTGCAGGCAGCACTAAGCTTCTTTCTCTGCCCAAGAAACTAAGAAAAGAATTTACTGGCACTCTTGTCCTTGTGGGTTGGCTGGCTGTGTTGTTTGTTTTTAATCTAATAAAAGAAGATCTTAATATCATAGTAAAATCGGTACAAAGCTGGAAACTCGCCCCTCGGCGTTTTGGCAAAACATTATTGAAAATGTAAAAGCCTTTAGCAGAAACAACAGAAGCACAAAGAAACAGTAGAAATAGGATCAACAGGTTGTGTTCTGGATGTTGGGAGAAGTGGGGAAATGCATCCAGCCAGGGCTCGAGGTGGCAGGGAGACCAGCTAGTCTGGGGGCTGGACACCAGCCCCGCTGGCTCTGCGCCGTGGGGATGTGATGCAGGTGGGACCCTGGGAGGGTCAGGGTGGGCAGCACTGCAGAGCAGAGCACTGCCAGTGTCCAGGCAGTTGGGAAGAGCACGGTGCCAGGAGGGCAGGAGCAACTGAGGAGGAAGAACAGGCGGGTGGGAGGATCTGTGCACGGGGCAGATGGTGTGAGCATGGCGGGACCCGGCCGGGGAGGTGGAGGCAATGGAAAGGCACACTTGCTATCCTTAGACTTGCAACTGCTAGAATTGATCCTGGCTCAGTCTCTTCCCTGTATGGAAGTTAAGTATTGGACACAAATTTTAAGAGTGTTTCTAAACTAGAAAGTGAAGTGTCTCTTGCAAAAAGATAGGAATGCTGAAGGAGTCTTCATTGCTCAGACTCACCCTTTGCTGTGGGATCCAAGTGCAGCTCTATTCACCTTGACTTTGTTTTCCTGTGCCTCCCACCTCTTCACAAGCATCACTGGAAGTACTATTCCTGTGTGCCATAAGCAAGTGCCTCCTGAGAATACCATTACCTAGTTTGTCCACCAGTACAGTGCTGGTCACCATGACAGCTCATAAAAACAACCATTTGTGGGATGACTTCTGCCCAATCTGAGCTGCAGCCAGCCCCCACGACTTTAACTCATGGCACTGGAAGGAGCAGCTTCCTGAGGCTACCAGCCAGCCTAGTACCTTATTTCTAATCATCAATGAGTTTGGACAGTGCAAAGCCATTCCTGTCCCTTGCACTTGCTGGCTGTCTGACGGCCTGGGTGGATTTTGCTTCCATGGTTCTGTGTGCAGCCTTTCATTCTGGCCACCACAGACCATCCACAGAGCGCTCGGGGTCGCCGTGGGGCTTGTGAGGCTACTCCAGCTCACTGTGCTCTTTTCCATAGCTTCACACATGATGAGTAACCCAGGCAAGCCAACTCCCCTTTTGAAGCTGCTGTTTGAGTTCTCTTGGTGCTCCCACAGTGTTGCATTTTCTGATTGACTGTTCCAGGTATGGTTTGTACTGGTGAGAAGGGAGAAGCAGGAGTGCTTTCCACACGCAGCATTACAACATGCTGCAGCAGAGTTGGTTCTTGGAACATGGCAGCCCCCTAAAACGTCAAATAAATCCTTAAACTATTCATCACTCTGTTTTTGGGGTGGCAGTTAAGTCTTTCAACACTCTGCGAGTTTCTTTCCCCAGCAGTAATTTCACTGGTGAAGAAATACAGCTCAAGGCACTCCACAAAGGCCTCAAAATTCATGTTTTGTTTTCATTACCAAAAAAATGCTTCACTACATTAAAGAGTGGCCCATTAAAACTTTGTACCCTGTCTTCTCTGCACCCTGTCGTTGTTGGCAAACCCTCCCCCTTGCGCGTGCAGAGCCCAGCAGCAGCTTCTGCAGATCCACAGAGAGGGGGGACCAGGGCTCAGCCACAGCCCAGCTTGTTTAGGTGTCAGACCTCAAAACTTTCAATAGCCAGGCAGATTTAGTAAATGTGTGTACTGAACCTTAAGCTACCAGTGCTTCCTCTGCTTTCAGTCTGTCCCAGCACAGCACACTGGTTCATGTGTGTGTCCAAGGAAATGCATTAACTGTCTGGTTCCTGGAATAAAATGTAACCCTGTACAAAGCAATAGCTTTAACTGTCTCAGGCAAATGGCCCTAAAACAACAATGAAAAAGAAAACAGTGACTCACTAGTCTTACTGAACTTTGGGATTATATGAATTAAATGTTGCCGCGTGAACTGGACGGTGTTCTCTGATCCCATATAAACGCTGGAGGTTGGAGAAAGCAGTAAACCTGTTAATAATTAGGTTTTAGGGGAGCATTTGGTTACTCTCACTAGTAATTCAGAGTAGCTGAACACTGACACAGTCATTAGAGAAGGCAGTGAAAGGTGGGGACTGTGCTTAAGAGTTTTCTAGCAAAATTCAGTGTAGACTTACTAAGTTCAGTTTTGTTTAATATTTCCACGGTTTAGTTAGATATAAATGGCACATTAATTAAATTTGCAAGTATATTGAGAAGTTAGAAGAGGTGCAGCTGTGGAGAGCACATCTCATCATGTTGCATGGGGAGGACCCAGACCGAGTGATGCAGGGCACAGCCAGAAGCACCAGCACTGCAGAGGATGGTGGGGAGTCAAACCTGCCCCTTCCCGTCACTGGGATGGGCACTGGAGTCACTTCCATCCGCTCCCCAGAAAGCTGGGGTGGGGTGATGATGCTGGAAGGAGGGAGGCAGCAAGGCTGCAGCATTCATCAGCAGTGCTGGACACGGCCTTGGGCAGGGTTTGATAAGCTTGTTTTCCAGGGCAGGGGAAAGCTGTGCCCTGGTCTCAGCGAGGGATGTGGGGGGATTTCATGGCCCATTTGAAGGGGCGGCCCGATGGTGAAATCCAGGCGGCTGCGGGATGGTCTCTCTGGGAAATGGAGGAGCCCTCACTGGCAGGATTATTTAAGGCTCGACTTTGAAAGACGAGACACTCTGCAGTTGGGAACAATGCTGCACTGTCAGAGAGATGGACTCAATTACTTAATAGGTCTTTGCTGTCTGTCTCCTGCGATTTCCCTTTCAAGAACATATATTCAGCTGGGTTATTTCTCATGGGAAGACAAAGTGTTGTGAGAGAAGCCAGGCATTTGGAGGGGAGAGGCGGGAGGAGCGGCAGCCAGGCAGATGCCTGGTTTGCTCTCTGTGGAGCACGCTCCTCAGGACGTGGAAAAAACTGGAGTGATCCTTTGGTCCTGTAACCAGCTGATCTCTCCGTCTCACAGGTGTCACTTCCTCTTCTTTGCTCACAAAAGATTTGCCACTTTGCTCTCCTGCTGCCAGGCTCTGATCCCCAGGACTGCTGGTGGTGGCAGTGTGGTCCCACAGGCAGTGCTGTACATGCTGCACAGGCCATTGGTTTCTGTTTTGTCAAAACATTTTGTGTTGGATGGACACTGACAGGTCCACACAGCTCATCTGGGTGCATGGGCAGCCTCCCCTCTAGCTCGGGAAGGCTCCCATGGCATTGCATCCAGCAGCAGCCAAGCTGGAGGAAAAGCTCATCTCCAAGTAACCTCTTGGTGCTGCTGTGTTAGGACGTGGTGAACAGGGATGTGTGATGGAGCCAGTGATTCCTGTTCTCACCAGAATCACTCTGCCAGCCATGGGGTGAGCGTGTCATGGGCACTTTCTCGCTGGGGTCACGGGCCTCACTGGCAGCCCTGGTTGAGGGCAGGAGGGCTGGGTGCCAGGGCAGCTGCAGGGCTCTTGTGCTGGTGTGTCTGCATGTGCACACACGTGTGTGAGCATGTGGGGGCACACACATGCCCAGGGCATCCATCTCTGTGCACTTGTTTGTCACCAAATTAAGATACTGTGTTACCTTATGCACGTTGATTTGATGCACCTAAATTGGCTGGATGTTCTTAAGCCCTGGGGCTGTAATGAGATTTTGTCTCTTTTGCCCATTTCTTTTTCTCTTCTTTTTTTTTTCAGAATAAGTCGTCTGTTTAATGGCACAGAGCCTATTGTCTTGGACAGTTTAAAACAACACTATTTCATTGATCGAGATGGAGAAATTTTCAGATATATATTAAGCTTCCTAAGGACATCTAAACTACTGCTCCCAGATGACTTTAAGGTAAGGAAAGCTATAGTCTGCAATCTATTTTTTCCTCCCATTCTGTCATTTGTTTTGGTGCCAGTTGGTTTGTGTGCTTGACCTAAACACATTTAACTAAATGTTGCTGTTTATTTGTTAGGATTTTTAGTACTTGTGTATTACACTAGGGATGCTGTTATTTAATAAATGGACCAATGGTTGTCATGGATACCATAAAAAGTTAAACGATGAAGCTTATGGCTAAATCAGTTTTTGTAGACTAATTGTATTTTCTCACATTTTTAGCTTATTTATCAGGGTATAACAACAATTAAGAAACAACATCAGCAACTAGCACTTACCAGGGTTTAATGCTCTGAATCTGAAAGAAATGTTTTAAATTTGATACTTAGAGGACTTGAACTGTATAAATCTTTTTCTTGTTGGTATAAAAAGGAAACACACTTAAACAAGCCCATAAGAATTTGTGTTAGATATAACCAATGCAGATACTTTGACTTCAGGAAGTAATCTGTTCACAGTTTGTGAATGTCAAAATATTCTTGGGAGATGGAATGGAGTGAGGGTTTTTTTAAGGAGCAGTGCATGTTTTCTGTGAAATAGTGGTGCTGGTTGTTGCTTTGCAGGCCCTGATTGTTTAAAAGCTCTCCTCTCAGCCTTGTTTGTTTGGCTTCGCACTTACGAAACTTCCAGCATTGACACCCTCTTGTATGAAAATTGGAAGACAAAAATGTGCAAACTGTAGATGACAAGATTAAACAAAAGCACTTACTCCAGGACGAAATGATGAATAAATTGGGATGGCAGAAGGGGGTGTGCTTGGTTGGAGGAGCGGAGCATTGCTGGAAAAGAAAGCTCCTGCACTCTGCAACCCGATTTCACTTTGTTGTGTTGGGTGGGCAGGATCACTTGGCCAGTTGTGACTGAGTCAGTCCAGAGTTGTGGTGGTGGTGGAGGCTTTGGAGTACAGTTGATCCTCAGGCTGCAACTGCTCCTCAGCCGTTCTTGCCTGAGTTATGAGGATAATCATGTTTGATCCATCATGGGAGGGTCTGCAGTTGGTGCTGAGGGGACGCGCTCTGTGGTGGGAGCACACGTCTCATCACGGGGCAGGAAGAAGGTTTGGCACTTGTGGGCAGTTTTGGAGCTCCAGCCCCAAAGGGGTGTCCTGAGCACTGGTCTTTCAGGCAGGTCAGGGAGGCTGCCCTGGGGGTTGGGGTGCTGTGAGACAGGGTGAGAGCACTGAGCCGTGGGTGCGAGAAAGCTCTTCATAGAGACGTGAGAGGAGACACGTGGGTAGCAGTGAAGCTAAAGAGCAGAGCAGTCCTGTGGGTTCTAAGATGGATCAAGTAAAGGGGGGGGGGTGGAGAAGTGGGACAGGTGCCAGAGAGATGCTTTAGCAGCAGTGTTGTGGACAATCTAGTGGGACAAGAAGGTGTGAGAAGAGAGGGTAAAAGAGATGCAGTTCAAGCTGATCATGGCCTCAACCAGCATCCAGATTTCAGAGGTGCTCTGCAACAAATCCAGCGGGATTCGGCAAGAGCCTGGAGGAGAGAGTGCCAGTGGATGCCAAGGACTTGTCTGCACAGCAAGCCTCTGGCAGGGCTGGGAGAGACTCAGGAGAGCCGGCGCTGTGCCCGGGCTCAGGCCGTTGTTCCAGACCATCTCTTTGCATAGGGTTAACTGTATTTTATTTAGTTCCTCCCTGGGAGAGTTTTAGAGCAAACCCCAGGCTAATGAGGGCTCAAGAACAAAGCAAAGCATTGCTAGGTAGGGAGTAACTAAATAAAAATGCGTAGAAGAATGCGCTGTAAAGCTATATTAAAACTGCATTGTAAACGGATTTGACTTCACAGAAATCGTGTAATTTTACCAGCATGATTAAAGTGACAGAAGACAATAATCAAAGGCAGCAAATGGAATCACTCGGTGTTTCTAAATGCAAAACTCTATTTAAGGTATAAAACCTGACAGGTTTTCCAGTGAGACTTGCATTAAATGTTCTTTATGTCAAACAAAGCATTATCAAGTGTTTTGAATATTTATTAGTTTTTACCCCTTAATTTAATCAAGCAGTTTATTAGCCTCAAGGTTTAGCCAAGTTGCTTTTCAACTTGAATTGCTGCTCAGATGGTTATTTTGGAAAGTTTGGAATGTTAGTACCGCACCAGCGTTATTGTGTTTGCTGTTTCGGTGTTGTTTTCAGACTAAGTTAACACTGAAATGCAGGAAAAGTGGGGTATGTGTTCTGAGGCTAGTGATTCTTTATTATCAAGTCTGAGTGGTGTGTTTACAGTGAATATTAATTACACTTCCAACTGCTACTCAGACAGAACTTGAAAGTGTCTCCCAGGTCTTCCTGCTGCAAGCAGCTCTCTTATAGTTCATACAGTTTTCCTGGGTTTGGGGGATTTTAAGCCACATGAAGTGTGTTGAGGAATTACTGTGAGTGGTTTGGCTGAGTTCTGCTCTGCAGCCAAGCGAGGTGATGGTGAGCAGCCCCTTGCACTCCCTCCTCCTGCACCGCTCAGTGTCCTGTGTGTGGGACCACAACGTCCTGGAGCAGAGCATGGAGCCAGCACCCCCTGGGTCTGCCACACTGCTGGGTTAGGGGGTGGCTGGCACAGGAACTGCTCCTCCTCTGGTGCCCAAATATTCTCTGCCCTGATCTCCACCCTGCCATCAGAGGTGTTTCCCCGGGACGTTTATGAGCAGCACGTGTCTCCCTCACTTCATGCAGAACCAGGACCCATTGTACCTCCTTGTTTGAGACTCACTCCCTGCTCAGAGAGCATCAAACAAAAATAGACATAGGCAATGTGTATATAGTTACTCCATCTGAAAGAGGGGAGGAGCACAAATGCACAGGACATCTGAGTTTTATATGGATTACAGAGGTCACCAGAATGACAAGGCCACCACTAATTTTTTTAATACAGTTACAAAATTAGTGTGCTTTCATCTAATTTTAAGTCTTCTCAGACTGACCTTAGCAAATGATGCAGTTGTCATCACAGAAGTGAGCAACTTTCTCTCGTAGCCAGGAGTCAGATCTTCACAGCACTAAAAATATAAAAGAAACGTTGAGTCAGAATGACAGTTTGTTGTTTCATGTAATAAAGAATAACAAGTGAAAAATAGGCAGAAAGAGCCATTTCAGCCTGTTCAGGAGTCAACGTTAGGTACAAAAAAATACAAGATATCTTTGGTACTGAGAGAGCAGCATCAGGGTCACGGGAGACACGGTGTCTCAGTTTCTGTTGGGTATCTCTGCTTGTAGTTGGCAGATCTGTACTGACCCACTGCACTGACATCAGAACAGCAGCACAACCAGCCTTGAGGTCACACCTCCCAGCTCCTCCCCAGGAAGATGCCATCCTTGTCAGAGGTGACTGCAGAATTTAGCCAATGTGAAATCCACCAGAAAAAAAGACTTTTCTGTCCAACAATAAGCAGAAAGTTATTTTTTTGAAAGGCAAAAGGCTGCATCTTTGAAAGATCTGTTTACCTTTGCCATGAGATCTGAGTGTTGGCCAGATGTGGATGGAGGAAGGCTGTGTGCATCCCACCTGCCTCTCTGCTCCCTTTTGCAGGTGAGCTGGCAGAACTTCCCCGCTAGTTCCTACAACAACCACAAGAAGTTGAAGCTCATGGTAGTTATGAATGCTTTTTATGGTACTTTACAGAAAAATTAGAGGCTGTACTATCTCCCCATTCAGTCTAGCCAAGAGCACCCTGCTTGTGAGCAGGGACCATTACTGGCAGTGGGAATCATCTTCGGAGTAAAGTGGTTTTCCTCAGCTAAAGAGAAGCAGCTCCTTTAGCTCTCACAGACAGTGCTTGACTCTGAGCTGTGCTGCCACAAGGTACACTGCTGTTAAGAAGCTGGGAAGGTAGGGAAGTAATCCTTAGAAGAAGTGGAAGAGGCATTAGTCCTGCAGGACAAGGAACTCCTGGATACTGTACAAAATCTGCTGTGGATGCTGCTCAGCAACACTGCACTGGCACCAGGGCTGGAGCCCCTGTGGACAGAGGGTGCAGTATCCATGTGCAGTATCCCAGAAGCTGTGCCAGGCTGCTCTGAGGCTGAGTCTCAATGAACCCCTGAGCACTTTGCCACTGTAGCTACTCCTGTGCCTGGTTCAGGGAAATGTGCCTTTTGGATAGGTCCAGGAAGATTCATATCTACATCTGCCTTTGGTAACTCATCAAAACTAACAGCATGGAAATGTTTTCTTGCAGTTCCTGTAGCATCGTCCTGGCAAGGTCCCTTGTGGGTTGAACTCTTCTACTTCATATTTCTTACTAAACTTTTGCAAATCCAAATCATCATGTAGGATTTTATATCTACAGTGCAAGGGTGGACCTACCTATGCCAGTATTACCTGGGCATCCTGAGCATTCAGTGCAGATAGTCCAGAGCTGGGCATCGCTTCCAGTCCTGTCACAGACACACAGCTCTCCAAACAATGTCTAAAACCTGAAGGGAAAGACCGTGGGCTTGGAGGTGCGTTGAGTGTGGGACCCTGCCCAAGCACAGGCTTTGGAGAACTGCACCCCCATGCTGGGAGCCACTCATTCTTTGTTCCTGGTTTGGGGAAATCCTCTTCCCTGCCTAAAAGCACTGCCAGATTCCTTTGGGATGCCCCAGTCCCTGAGTGCAGAAAGGCCACACAGCCCATAGAGGAGCAGAGCGGGTCGGGCTGTGCTGGTGGTGCCCGGCTGTGCCGTGGGCAGCACGTGGAGTGGGGGGTCACACAAGGTGTCCCTTCCCAGCACTGTCACTAGTGGACAGCAGTGAATTTCTCTTGCCTACAGAAAACCCTTTTTATCCCCTCTACTTGTTGCAGCACAACAAATTCCTTTTATTGCCCCTGCCTGACAAGAGGTGCCCAGACTCCCTAAGGCTGAACGTGCACTTTGCCCCTTGGCACCAGCACACCTCAGTTCCCAGTGTCCATTACAGACCCATCTTTCAGGTGCTCAGTCCAAGTGTGGAATAGACATGGGATGAGAGTCTTTTATTAGAACTAACCCAAACACCTTAGCTTAACCCAGGCAGTTATGACCAGGTCACCTTGTCCTACAGAGCATGTGATGCTCCAGCACAGCCCAGATTTCCACACAGCCACCTCAAGTGTGGCTGTGTCATTCTGGGAACAGTAGTGGAAGAACTGTTTCATTTGAAAGCAGGTTGTCTTCTTACAAAATGAAATGAGAATATAAAATTTATCCTGTTTATTTTAGGGCAAATGATGACTAGCAGGAGTCACTAAGGAGCTGCATTCCATGCAGTGGGCTAAGAGCTGGCTGTGGGGGAGGTCGGGGTGGTGTGATCCTGGTTTTGTTTGTTTTGTGGCAGTACTGTTTTGGCCTGGGGGTGCAGCCCATCGAACTCCTGTGATTCAGGATACTGTCAGGCTAGTGCAAAGCCCAGTGAAGGCAGCCAGAGCCTCTCGTGAATGTAATGGGCTTTGCATCCAGCCTCAGGAGCACTGCTCTCTGCTTCCAGAAATGAAGGACTGCTTTTTCTGTCACTGTACCATCTCTTCTGGGTTTTACTGTGGAATTTTCTTAGCACATATTCGCTTGATTGCCCTTAAAAATAATACCTTATTTTATAGTGGCCATGAACCCAGATATTCTAAAACTAGTTTTTCAGGACCCACTGAAAACAGTGGATGACTTTCCATTGCCTTCAGTAAGCACTGGGTGCTCCTGTTCCCTCTACAGCATTTCATTTTTCCTTAGCATTGCATGTTTTCCTTTGTTTGAAAAAGAGCTCCGTGGCACCAGCAGATGCCAAGTGAATGTTTGGTAGGGCACTGCACACACCTCTGTAGTGAACATGGTTGGGTGGTGGACTGTGCTGATTCAGTGTCCAGCATGAAGATTTCAGGAAATTTGGGACAGGGTATTTTTTAATTTAGGCCACTAACCCCTGTAGGTTTAAACTGATCCCCTGCTCAGTAACTGGGGAACTTCACTGGTTGACAGAGAAAAGCAGCAATGGTTCAGCAGAGAGTACTGGTTTTGGGGAAGGGTGAGAATACCTTCCATCAGGGGACCAGGCTTTGGGGCTGATGCTCTCTTACCTGAGAGAAGGTAGTGCAGCCAGTGCCCGGCTCTTTGCCTGGCCTGTTCCCAACTCTGGTTGTTTGCAGCATGCCTTCTGTACGATTTCTTCTTTAATCTTCCTGTTGTTTTTCATCTTCAAGCTGTGTTCCGTGAGTGTGTTTGTTGCCCTCATTTCTTCCCACTTGCTCTTATCCCTCTTCCTCTCTGCTCCGGTCTTTTTTTCCCCTCCCTTAGCAGTGTGTGCATTGTCCCAGCCTTAACAGACATCAAAGAGATGTAAAGCATTGGATGTCCCTTTTGTAAGGTGATAACCTTGCCGCTGTCACTGTGAATATTCATACGTCTCCAGGCTGCAGGCAGCCCTGGGGTGAGGGAGCACCTCAGCTAACGGTGGTGGGTCTGTGGTGCCAAATTTGAACAGAGCTAACTGCTTTGGTTCAGTAATACCCTGCAGCAGCAGATTTTACAGGTTAATTCCAAACCACTCTGAAGAGTCGCACCTTTTTGTGCTGCGTGTTCACTTGATTCCCTCTCTTCCCTGAGTCCCTGGGCAGCAGCACACCCATTATTTTTCATGGAATTTGAGTGCCCATTTCTTGATTATTCCTTGTCATGCCATTCTTTCCAGTCCAAATGATTCCAGTCATTTCACTCTTGTGATTTTTTTGTTTCATTTCGCTGGTGTAGAACCAGCCTTTGTTCCAGGTGTTCCAGCATACTCCACAAAAGTCAGGTACTGTCTTACCTGGGGTGCAGCATTTGCATCTTTAAAGAGGTGCAAGAGCCAGGAAAGCAAACAGCAGGTCTTTGCTGGTGCCGTGCTCTTTTTGCTCCTCTTCCCCTCAGGAGGCTGAAGGAGGTGGTGTGGCCACTGTAAGCAGAGTGCTCAGTGAGGGGGTGTCTCCTTCTCCTTCTTCTCAGGCTTGGCCTGGTGGGCACTGCTGCCTCCTTGAGTTGGGGGGGGCTGACACCCTTTGCCTCCATGTACTCTCACATGGCTGAGGTGGAAAGATGTGTCAGAAACCTGATGAAAGGATGTGCACCTGATGAGGATGTGCAGCAGATATCTCAATCACTGAACTGGGAACTGGATCAAATTGGGAATTTGAATTGCCCAAAGCCAAAGTGAGGTGATGGACAAATGGCAGGAAAGAACAGCTTCTTTTAAGCTATTGGAGTGCACAGCTGAGCTCCCAGCCAGCAGGATGGTCACTCCCTCCATATAATTTACCAGGCTCCAAAGTATGCTTTAAATACATGAATAGTCATGAAATGCAGGGAGCAGCTGAGCTGCTGCAGCTGAATTTCAGCCTCAGCAAAGACAGGTGAGAAGTGAAGCTGAACTGACATCTCCATCTCGTAACATGTGTGAGAGGCGACAGCGAAGCCTGAGATCTGTTGTAAGATCAGAAATATCTGAGGCCAAGACTGAAGATTAGGGCTTGGAACATCTTCTCTTACATCAGTAGGCTTTGTTTATTGCAACCAGCTATTTTGATTTCTTAATCCAAGACTAAAGCCTCCTGGCATTGAGCTTGTGGGATAATAAATGAAAGGATAATTCAGTGCAATGGGAACTTCATGGTCAGCTCAAATAGATTCAACACTAACACCATGTGGTTTTCTGTGTAGGTGTAAGATGAAGATATGTGGATACCTGTTGCCTTTGCGCTCTTGCTGACAGTACATAAGCCTAAGTAGGTCAAACAGGAACAATACTCGTTTTTAAAAGAGAACTATAAGCATTTCTAGTTTCTCTCTCTCCCTCTCTTTTCTTTTTTCTTCCTCCCAGGACTTTAATCTTTTATATGAAGAAGCAAAGTATTACCAGCTGCAGCCAATGATTAAGGAACTTGAGCGATGGAAACAAGAGAAAGAACAAAGGAAACATTTCCAGCCTTGTGACTGCTTGGTTGTAAGAGTGACTCCAGATCTGGGGGAGAGAATTGCATTGAGTGGGGAGAAGGCTTTAATAGAAGAGATCTTCCCAGAGACTGGGGATGTCATGTGCAACTCTGTAAACGCAGGCTGGAACCAGGACCCAACCCACGTTATCAGGTTTCCCTTGAACGGATACTGCCGGTTGAACTCAGTGCAGGTAATGAATGGCCTTTTGGTGCTGGCTCATCCATTTGCTGGGCTGGTTTTTTTATTATGTCTTCTTCAATTATATGCAAATTATTTGCTTCTGCCCAATTACTTTCAGTGCTTCTACTGCAAGGAGACATTTTCTGCCTGGTGAGATCACAGTCTTTCAGGTTTTCCTAAGTCTAAGCAGAAAAATAGATTTAGATTTTGTGTATGTTAGTGCCATGCTGGTCTCATAATGGTGTTATACTGATAAATGCTAATTTTTTCATCAATGTATAGCCTTCGGCAGTTTTTTTTTTTCCTCCAAAGTGCCTGCAGGAAGAAAGAGAGAGTTCCAAAAACTACAAAAAAAAATCTCCACACCATTTTATAGAAAATGCAACAATGTGTAAATGCATAATTTATGTCTCACTCATAATTAAATGATGGTGCCTGCGGGATGGACTTAAAAAAATTGATCTCTGCACTTTTTTTTTTTTCAAAAGGATGTTCTATAAAAATTGCCCAGAGTATTTTAAACAAAATGTATTTCATTTTATACGCAGAGTTTTGACGTTAGGTTTAAAATTAAACATATGAAACAAAAGAAGATAACTGGACAGATAGGTGGATGGCAGCAGAAATAAATACGTGGCCTGTGTTTAGGCAGCTGCCTGAGGGACAAGCAGTGCCATTTCCCAGGGATCATCACCACAACAGCCAGAGCTCCGTGGTGTGGCTGTCCTGGGGCTGTGGAGAGGAACAGGGGTGATGATGCCATTAACTTGTGCCTTAATTAACAAGGGCAAGACAGAGCTCTTAGTTTGTGTCTGCCTTTGGAACAAGCTGCAAATACTTGTGTTCTGGAAAGGGAAATCAACCTGTAGGGGAATATTTCCAAACATACCATCCCCTGCAGGTGGGCTGTGGCTGCAGGTGTGAACTGGCTGTGGGAAATGCCTTTGTGGTCTTGGTAAACTCCCCTGTGGGCAAATAGCTGCAGAAGAGCCCATGGCCCAGCCTGGCCGGGGTGGATGGGGAGGGAGGTGCAACAGCCAGGGAGGATAAGAACCTAGAGGTCCTGCTAACCTATGGTTATTACACATCAGCTGAGGGGCCCTCCACCTCCCAAGCTGCCAGGTGACAACATTTTCAGGAGACCTGTAGTTACCTGAATATGTAAAGATGGATGGAATCGTTTTAACACCCTGAATTTGATGGTGACATCCCCCTCCGTGGGGCAGCGTTCCCTGGTGCAGTTTGCACTGACATTGTTGTCTGAAACCATCCTAAACCCAGCTGCTTTGGATGATTTTTGGTTCGAGACTCCCGAGTGGTGTATTTGGTTGAACTTTAACAGCCTGTGATTAATTCTGCACAGTCCTTCAGCAGTTTGATGTCTGGCAAGGTTTGGAGTGGGCTGCCCCGAAAGCAGCGGGTGGTGAGAGGCAGCCCTGTGCTCTGGCAGTGGGACAGGGACAGTTCATCCCCGTGCTGGGGGAGGAGGGAGCAGCTGCAGTTTAGCTCAGGTAGGTGGAGAGGGAAGAGCATTTGTGTCTGAGCCACACTGTCCCTGTCATCCAGTTAGATGCACACAAGGAATCAGAATAACTGCAGCAACAAAGGGTCCCTGTGAGCCACTCACCAGCTCAGCACTGCCAGCGGCCTGGCAAGGCACTGGGTGCCCTCATGGCTTAGCACAGCCCTCTTTTATCCACAGCAGTGGAACTAGTAGGGTACGTGTGCTTGTAGGAAAAGCTGTACACTAATTACTGTTATTATTTGAATGTGTTTTGAATTCAGTCAAAATTCAGTCAGAATCAAAGAGTTCACATTGTAAAAAAAAATTCTCTGTCAAAGAGTCTGCAGTATAAGTAATACTATTAAATTACATCATTTTACTAAATTACATCATTTTACTATATAATTAATAGAAAGTGTTTTCAAACACTTTCTGGAAAACTATGCATTTCTGAGACCAAAGGCTGATGAAATCAGCAGCTAATTATCATTGGCTCTGATGAACTCTGGTCAGTGCACAGGCACTGCTCTTCCCCTTCCCAGGATTTTTTTGCAAAATAATATTAAGTCAGAAGTTGGAAGTACAGTGAAGCAAACCCACAGACTTAAGGGAGATGGGTAGTGGGTGGAAGAGCACAATTGCTTCCAAAGACTCCCAGAGAACAACACAGGAAGCCTGTCTGCTATCTGCTGAGATACTTCTCTTCTGTCTCCCTGTGCCCTGCTGAATGTATTTGGTAGCAGAATTGCACTCTTTATACATTTTCTTCTTATATTTTAAGAATATTTTTATTAAATGGTTTGTATCAAGAACTGTGCCTATAGAACAAAAAATGTCAACACCGAATTGGTAGTGGTAGGCAAAAAAATACAGTAACTCTTAATTTTAGACCCATTTGTAATTATATAAAGGTTTAGAGGTTTTTTCAACTCCTTGCAACAGGTTCTGGTGAGAATCATGAGTTTACCTTAGAGAAAATTCTGTGATGCTTGTGTATGTTGAACATTAATTAGGAATGTGTTCGTTAGTATTCTGCCAAATTTACATGAAATGAAGTAAGGGAAAGGATCATGTTTCCATTTGGAAAATCTTCCAACAAAGTCAGATGCACTTGGAATACTGGAAGACAGCATATATGAAATCCTAGCACAAATCCTTTATTTATTACTGTGTGTGTCCCACACACAGGAGAGTCACAGCTGAGACTCACTTCTGGCATATTCTCTTTGGAGATTTTCTGGAAGGTAGCTCTGATTTGATTTCAGAGATGGTTACTCTTTCCCCTGTCCATATCTTACTTTCAGAAGAAGTGATGTGCGTAGAGTCAAATTCTCTTAAGTGGAATTTAAACCTGTCCACATTCAAAATGCTGTTGAGTCTTGTGCCCGTGCCAGTGTGTACAAACCAGTGCCCAGCACCCAGGGCAGCCCTGCAGGAGCCTTGCTCTTAGACCTGAGCTCGGCCTCATCCAAGTGACACTGAAAACTCTGCAATATTTAAACATTCTCTGCATTGTTTACAGGATTTGGCCTGTTTTGCTTCGTGCTGAGAAAATTGATGATGGGTTTCTAACCCTGGGTTGTGGCCTGCAGTGTGCCCTTCCAGCACGTACCGAGCACAAACGAATCGCTTTGTTCCGCGCGGTGCTCTGAGGTGCAATGTCTACCTGGACTGTGTGTGTGCAGAGAGCAGGCTCAGTGAAAAAGAATCCTATGTTAACATGCAGCCTTCCATAGCTTTGGTCTGAGGCAAGCCAAGGGCACCCCCGTGCTTGTTTTGTCTTACAAGCAAATTGATTTTTAAAAGTTTTTAGCAAGGATTTTGAAGTCCCGTCTCTCTCAGAAATCTTAGCTGTCAATCCTCTGTTCCACTATCCAGTTCAGTGGGAGAAGCCTCCTTTCCCGTGGCTGGGTTGTCTCTCATCTTCATCTTGCCAGGGCTAAGAGCAGTGATACATAATACACAATACACTCAAAATACACTCCCAGCCTGCTGATGTCTTGTTCCTCCTTCCATCTCAGACTCCTCCTGCCTTCCTCTGTGAGGAGGGACAAGTGTCAGTGTCTGCACCCTATTTCTGTCCTACAGAGCCCACACAGCCTGGACAAATAAGGGAGATGAAAGCTTTCTCTCTCTGTCTTTTAAATGTATTTTGATAACCCACTCTCCTGCCCCTTCTTTTCATCTCTCTCAGTTCATTATTCTTCCATACTCCGGTGTTGTTTTTTGATCTTTCAGTTCTACAACTTTTTTACTGTGTAGAGTATGTAAAAATCAGGGCAAAAGTCAGGGAGATTTGGCAGATGTGACTTGCTGAGAACGTTAAGTCCCCGTGTCCCAAGGCCAGGCAGAGCTCCTCAGGCAAGTTGATTTGCAGCACACTCGGCGTGGCTCAGGCAGAGCTGTGCTGGAGCAGCCTCTTTCCTTTGCCCGTCCTTAGCAGCCAGGGGAGCAAAAGTAAAATGTTTTAGTTACCACTGAAAACCCAAACCCTGGGTTGGGTGCAGATGGTTAGCACAGGCAGCCTCTAAGGAGGGACTGAACAGATGAAAGCCAGCAAATGATGCTGCCGTGGTTTGCACTGCACTGCCACACCACCTCAGACACAGCTGTTCTTCTGAAATCATGTTCCTGGAAAAAACAAAGCCAACATTCAGGCTTTGCACTAAGAAATGCACTGTGGCCTCACGTGGGTCTGTGTGTGAGGGCGAGGGCAGTGGTCTGGAGTGCAGTCTCCAAAGTCAGTGTGACTGCTGGTGTGCTCAGGGGGCCACTGGAACTGAAAAAGAAATTAAATTCTTTCTACAACCTGTGCCCATGAAAGTGGGCCGAAGGTGGGTATGTTGCTTAGACGCTTCTCTAGGCTGAGTGAACAAGTGGCTTGGTCCCTGTTGCTGAGGGTGGCTGTCACATGGGGATGCTGGTGTGGCCAAGGCCATCAGGTTCAGTAAACCACCAGTTCACTTCCCACGTGCTGCAGCAATGGAAGTACCTTGGGTGAGGCCCTTGGAGAACGGCACAGGCTGCTCCCCTTGACAGCATTTATCACACAGAAAACCACAGGAGCCGCTCTTCCAGGCTGCTGCCCTGCACTAGGGAAGCACCACGGCGTCTCCTCTGGTGGGTCCTGCACTGCAGATCTGCCAAAGGAGGATCTGGCATCTGCCCTCACCTAACTCTGGGAGAAGCCTGTGTGCGTCCTGCTCTGCTGGGAACCGAATATCAACATGCTCACGCATGTGAAAACACGGCCCGATCACACCGCCAAGATCAGCACGTCCTGGGGAAATGTGCTGTGTGACAGTCACAGAAATTAAAGTTGCCTCTGGGTTCCTTAAATTCATGCATCTAAATTGCACCAACTTTTCTTTAGGAGGAGAAAGAAAAAATACATATTTGGGCAATACAGATTAACCTCTTTCTTGGGCCAGAATATTTCCCTATTGTCCACGTCTTGGCTCTGTGTCCCATCCCTGCCATGCTTTGCTACCAGCAGCCCTCCCTTCCAGTGAGGGAGAACAGCTGCCATTGCCAGGAAAATCTGGTGGATGTGTCATTCAGGCTCTTGATACATTTTCATCTGCCAAGGAAGACCTTTTCATCCCCTCTCTGTAAAATTGTTCATATTACTAATGAATTATGGGCACTTCTTGTAACAACTTAAACCTGATGTTGCTTTCTATAAGCAGTAAGAGATACCATCAATATCACCACAGTCCAGTATTTTACTATATAATGTACTAAGCTGCTCTGCAGAGTGCTTATTTCTTTGATTAATTTTTGTTTTCTACAGAGGTTTGCTGAGAGCGAGACTTTAATCACAGTATAGTCATTTAACAATAAGTTATAGAATTATAGCTGAATAATATTCATTCACAATGAGGACTGGAAAGACTAAATCCATCATTTAGATCTGGTGCTTCTGACTGCTTTTATCACCGAAATTTGCTAAATATTAATCTGATTTTTTCCCCCCCACACTGCAGGTGCTTGAAAGATTATTTCAGAAGGGATTTACCGTGGCAGCTTCCTGTGGTGGTGGGGTGGATTCCTCTCAGTTCAGTGAATACGTGCTGTGTCGCGAAGACAGACGACCACAACCCACCCCAACAATCAGAATAAAACAGGAGCCCCTGGACTAGACCCTCCCTGTACCCCCTTTGTAACCGTAGAAGTGTTTAATAGTCCCTTATGTGAAACACTAAGGATTTGCAAAACAGTATTAGCAAACAGACTTTGACTTTATGTTGCCAATTAGTGGTATTCTGAAACTACCTGTCACATAGCCAGCCACGAAATGCATTTGAGAAGCCAGTTGTCCGTTTGTCACGGTGGAGTTCCCGAGTGCTCAGCACAGCAGGTCTCTGGGATGGACTTTGGCTCAACAGCACTGCTGTGGAACAGGCAAAGCTTTCTAACCCCCTGACCCTGCACTGGACTGGACTTCTGCAAAGACCAGTTAAAGCAGTGGGATGGATCAGCAGGAGCTGTGGTTCTGCCAGCCTTCCCAGGGACACCCCAGTGCTGTGACACGTGGACGTCTGTGAGAGGAAGATGGAACGCTAAAAACTGCACTGAGACTCTTCCCTGACTGCCACACCTCCATATCAGACGTGCTTTACACCTCCAGGCACCACGGGGCACCTCTGTGATTGTACTCACCCACACTAGCAAATGGCTTATTTTTATACGACATTTCCAACTGAAGTCTCTCTCTGTGGACAGGATCCAGAATCAGAAAAGGACCAATTTATAGTCAACTGGTGCTCAGTACTAAAAACCCCACACAAACCAAACAAAAAAAGTGACAAAAAGTTAGAGAAGGCCGATTTTTGCAACAGTAGGGATCTGGAAGCACAAAATAAAATGCCATCCACCATCACACAAGGGTCACATACCCGACACGGAGCTGTAGCTCTCTTGAAGCCAGTCTTGTTTTGACACAGAAACTGTTTATAAGTTTTGCATCATCAAAGAAACGTGGTTCTGCCAAGCAAGCTCTGCCACCCCTCGTTAATCATTTACTAACCATGTTAGAAGCCCACATTTAGGAGGAAAGTGTAAGAATTTTGGACAGGCCTAACTGTTTATGGGTCTGGAATTCTTGCAAAGAGCTGTTAAAACACTGTACTGCCACTGTCGGATGAAAGCAGGCCACCTTTGGTTTAAATTGTTTTATTAATTTAAATTATTATTAAAATATTAGTTCTGTAGCCGCCCTCTATCTGTGTACCTTTCTCTGTAACGAAGTCAGGGGTCTGCAGGAGGGTCCTGCTACTGCCAGGAATTGGCATCGACTCCCAGGGCTCCCTAACTCAGGAGGCAGCGCCGCGTTCGCAGGCGCGAGGTTATAAATAGCATTCTGCAAAATCCTGTTTGTTGCTGTTCAGCATGATTGGGTCCTCAATAACTAATTCATGTGTTCATCACAATTTAGTTTCTCCCACATTAATTTATAGAATACTGTTGTAGATGCTGAATTTCAATTAAACTCTTTTTAGATGCCTAAATACGGCCATATAGAGCAAGGGAGAGAGTATTAGGTGGTCGACAGTTCTTCAGTGCCAGTTGTTTGCAATCAGGCAAAATTTAAAAAGTCACATTTAAGACTAATATTTTCAAAAGCGATGAGCTGTACTGACTATCCAAGGAACAATCTAGGCAGGGGTCTAATTTTTGGAAAAGGGCTGGATACCTGTCCATGGAAAATCAGACCTCTGCAGGTTTCCTCACCTTGGTCACCCAACTCAGAAATCTCTGATGGCGATCCTGGCCGGTTGGCCTGCTACCTTAGCAGAACAGTTGAGCAAATCTGTCTACTTTAAGAGTTGTAAAGTTATTTTATTTTGTGGTTTTATACTTGTACGACATTCTAAAGTCGCTAGGCATTGCCATATTTGAATATATGGCACAACATTCACCTTTGTATGTAAGATATCTGTAGAATTGTATATTATACATTTAATATTGTAAAGAACTTAACGTATAATTGTCATGTATTTGTGTATGCACATTTCTTATACAGTACTTCATGCCATAAACATTTCTGTAAAGTAAACGAACAAAAATAAGCACGTAGGGTGGAACACTCACTGTATCTCCCATGTTGTTTGAAAGAGGTGAGAATTTTTGATTGTGTCTTCTCCAGCCTTTAGCTCCATTCAGCTTGATGTAGCCATGTCTCACAGAAAGGAAAAAAAAAGTCTTTTTATTTATTACTTTCATACATTGAGTTCCCTTTCAGTCCAAAGTATCCTTAACTAATCTGTTCAGGTTCCTGTTTTTCCTGTATCCACCCTGCCGCCCTGACCAGGGTGAGAGGCACTCGCAGCGGCTCTGGCAGCGCATCCCCTCCTGTTCTTACCTCAGCCAGGGAGCAAAGGGGACCCTCCAGGGGACATTGGATCACAGGGGCCCAATCCTGCCCCTGGTGCTCGGCCAGGCCTGCCCAGCTCCGCAGGGCTCTCTGCCCGCAGGACCGGGCGCTGAGCACCCGTGGGCAGCTCTCACGGCACCGGGGGGGATGATGCTTCTGGACACGTGTAGGACATTGGAAGTATTTGTGGTTGGTTTTTCCTCAGTTTGGTGTTTACTGTGTTTTTTTTATGGCTCAATGAAGCAGCTCCAGTACTTGGGGCAGCTTTGCTGAGGTGGCACTGGAAAGGGTTCCAGGCTGCACCAGCCGAGTTAAATGTGAAACTCGAGACGGAAAGTTTGAACCATGACATCACAGCATTGACTGCAAAATAGCACCAAGGCAAGGAAGACATGTGGAAACAATCAATTTCTTAGAAGAAAAATGCCTTTAAAAAAAAAACTGTTAAGCTAGGACATGTTCTTTTAGTTAGTAACTTCAGGTCACTTATTTAAAGATTATTACAGTTTCATTTATATCTTTTTTTACTTATTTCCCTGTATGTTTAGGCAGCAATATCAACGAAAACTGATTTGAATTTTTACTTCTGGCCTTAAACCATAGTAACGCAACTTAATGAAGAACACTGCTCAGCTTGGCTAAGAGAGGTTTCAGAATGCCACAGCCACTGCAGCGAGGCCCTGTGTGTGCAGCCAGCAGATGTTTCTGCTGCGGAGGCCGAGGAGCTGAGCCTGGTTTTTGCCTAATTCGATTGAACCCAACTGTTCTGATTCGCTGTTGCCGAGCACTGACCCCGTGGCCCCACAGGCACGAGCCCTCCCCAGCACTTTGCCAGCGCAGGCAGAAAGGGAAGGAGAATGTTCTGTTGTGCTTATTGGACTCGTGGCTCCCCAGAAAGCAACTGCTGAGTGCATCCATTCTCTGTGCTAATGGCATCGAGGTTTGTTGACAATTTTATTAGATGTTTCACAAAGGATAAGAATCAGCACAACAAAACATTGAAGTATTTGGGTTTTGATATTTCTTCGTGGGTATTCTGTTAATATTTTGATGCAAAATGTTTTCTGACCAGTGCTAAAGAACTACAAGACAATGTGAAATTCATGTTTGATAAATTAATACTGTATGTCACTCGATGTGTTACTTTAGTAAATTGTTTTATTTCTTTACAAAATAAGTACAAATAAGGGAGTATGTTTTCACACAAATTGGGGGTATTTACGAGTATGTACAGAAATCATCAAAATAACGTAACTCTAATAAACACAAGGCCTTTATAAACAATATGTACAAATTATCAATACATTTAAAACATAACTTTACACTTCCTGGCCTTAAATACCTTATGAATAATCTTTTGGCTAAATAGCAGCAGTATAAATTTTCTTCTGCTTTTCATAAACCTTAAAAAATAATTAAAACCTTTGTTTTTAAAACTATTGGACAAATAGTTCTATTTGTGCTTTTGCTATGGTTTCCCATCAAAAAAAAAAAAATATTGCCTCAAAAAAGTGGCAAGCATAACATAGTAAAAATGGAAAAGATAAATAAGCAAATGTCTCCCTTCCGTGGTGACTGGTAACACTGTTAAAAGTCTGAAATACAACTTGTGCCCACCTGCCTGTGACTGCTCCTCTCCGATCCCCATTTAAAGACTCACACTTGACCTCGCTCGGCTTTGGTGTGGGCCCAGAATTCCGCTTCAGCAAAGCATTTAAAAAGCATTCCTCCCACCTTTTAGCTACTTACAACTATTCCTTATGCTTAAAGCCTGTTCATGAGCCCCCCGGGACTGGAATCCAAGGCATCGCCACCCCTGGTGGCACCGGGATTCTCACCAGTCCCAGAGTGGAACCGACCTCCAAAAACCTTTAGAGCGGCTTTAAAAATCCATATAGAATACTCTAAAAATCTTTACTGAACAATACTCTCTTTTAAAACCACCATTAAACCATACTCTTTGCAATAAATAAATTAACATCTTTTAGAAAATAAAACCCAACTTTGAATCATGTTACTAACCAGCTGCTACAAATGCACAAAAGGTCGAAGGGGTTTAGAAAACAACTGGAAGCTAGTCAAGGTAACTCAGCTGAGACCCAAGCACACAGACTTCATACACTTAGGATTTGGTTCAGCAAATGGCTCAGGAAATGAGCTGTGCAGTAAAAGCAAAAATCCCAAATATATAGAATTTGTGAGAGTGTGCTAGTCTCTTGGCTGTGCAAAAAACCGCCGTCATAACTAAGCTAAAACAACACCAGGTATCACCATGGTTGGTGAGACAGCGCCAGTAAACGAAGAAGGAAAGCCCAACCCCACAGGTGAACACACAGAACACCAGGGGTGGGCCCAAACCTGTGACCTGTCCCAGTCCTGGCCAGGAGATGCTTTAGGTGAGCCATTGCAGTAGCCTTGTATTTGTGTGACTGCAACACCAGCTACTTCAGCCTTACCTAAAATGGCCAAATGGAGCAAGACTTGGATGTTGGTTATGTCTGTGGAGTTAACATTTTAAAACCTTTTGCACTTTTTTTTTTTTGGTGGTTTTTATATTATTATTTTTTTTTACATAAAGGAAATTTATTGCATGTGTCTGACAATTTTAGAAAACAAAATTACTGGAACATTGACTTCTGAAAAAAATAGAAGGCACATTAAAATGACAGCTTTCAATGCGAGTTGAGCTTCTGTATGGAGCAATCAGTACAACTGTTGGCTTTATTTAAGCAGAGCTCGATAGAGCAGGAGAGAATGGCTCATTTCTCGTTCCTGTTCCATGTAGAAGATGAAGTCCCTGAGGTTTACACGTGTTATTTTCTGTCGTGGATACTGCCTGGGGGAAGCAGTGCCCAGGCCAGCCTGACTCCCACCAGACACACCGAGACCCTGCAAAGAAAACACGGCAAACTCGTAAGTCCTGCAGCAGTGAAGAGTTCCCTCATGCTCAGGTTTACAGCTGCTGACTGCTGGATTCTTTTAAACATCTTCAGTGGATTACTGAGCCTCATTCTCAAAGCATTACATGTAATGTTTTTTATCATTATTCTTTCTACTGCGTTTCACCAAGTTAACCCGAGTAAAGAACTCAAGTGCAAACATGTGAGACAACACCTTGTTCACTTACAACTCAGGACAGATCTGTCCAGTTCTCCTGCTACAGTCGTGTTCCCTGTAGATGTATTTGACCAGTTTAAATTCAGGAGCCTTTTGAGGACCAAGCTATTTGCAGCAGATAAAGCCATGTGTGCACCATCCTCCTGCACATCCCAGCACTGGAAACAGGTGAGTGGCATATTTGGATGTTGCTACTCTGCAGGTGCAGGTCCCACAGGGGACCCCAGCTCTGTCCTCTGGGTCTGCTGAAGAAAAGGGCTCAGTGGGGGGAGATTCTCAACTCGAGCAGACAACCAAAAATTCAATAAAAAGATCACGAAGACTTAGACATTGTGTGATGATAAAGACAAACATTAGTATACTGGCTTCTACAGCTATATTAAATAATTATATATTTTTTTAATTGGTATATAGGTACTGAAGTACTGAATTCCTCATCCTGACTTTGTATATGGAGAGAAAATTCCCAAACTGGGCCCTAAGGACGCTGTGAATCTGAATGTTTAGAAATGTAAAGGACCTGATTACAGCCTCTGCAGTCTCATGGAGTTTAAACTGAAACCTGGTCCACACATACAGTTCTTTTTTCATCTGTAGGAGTCCATTGTTTTTATTAATTCCAATTGGTTTGTAGCAAAATAAACTGTTCTAACTTAGAAAAATAGGGTTTAATCTCTAAAAAGATTTAAGCTATGTTTCAAACCTGTAAGACATCTGGTAAAATTTTCAGTACTTCTAATATCCCCAAATTTACTTAGTGCTGCTCAAACCTACCTTTCTTTCCCCGGGAAATACTTATTCTAGGATCTTCACTCCAGCCATTAAGTACACAGTTAAGGGTAATTTTACTACTGAAAGGTTGTAGGGGAAGCATTTATGGTCTGCTGAGACATGGCACTCTTCCTCTTGTGTACCATAGTCAGTCAGACTCCTTGCAGAACTGCACCATCCATGTTAGTTCTCCTATACCTGCTTATTAAATTGCAGCAGTGGGGCAAATCCTGTTCTCCTGTAACCACAAACACAAAAGGCTTAATGGAGTGCAGTGAATGTGGCTCAGCTTGCAGGGAATAGTGGGAGAAGCCCACAACCTTTGAGCACTGTGAGCATCTGAGCTGAGGGATTCTGTCCTCCAGTGTGGAGTAGTTTGTGTTAATTAATTGATTGAGCACGACCCTCCCTGCTCACAGGAAAGCAGCTGCAGCTGCAGGGGCTGCTCATCTCTGCTGGAGCCAGACACATGCCCAGTGCATAATCCATGTATTTACTGGTGCTCCGAGTTCAGCCTTTACACCAAACCCCTTTGCATTCCTGAAAGAAAAAGGATCATTTAAACCCTTAACTCACCACCTTCCACAGGCTGGAACAACATCGACCCTTAACCTGCCTCCCAGCTGCACCCTGACCACACACCCACTTTGCCAGGGCTGTGCCCACTCTTTCTAACCCTTCAAGAAACCACTGTGTATATATTTATTTTAAATCAAGCTGACTCAAAAATATTTTTCCTTCTTCTCTGTTCCCCCCATGGTGCATCTCTCCCCTGCCCACAGTACTACTTATTTCAGGTTCATCCTGACTACAGGACCTGGACAGTGACAAACACACTTGAAAGAAATGTGGCCACCTTGAACTCCTTAGAAACCAGTGTCCATAGCATTCTGGACTAGAAGCATCCCACACACACTTACCAGTAACAGAAAAGCTAAATATTTTTTAAAATTTTTCTTCATATGAAACTATTTCTTGAATCAGTTGAGTTACATTTACAGCAAGTAACTACTCTCTATTTGGACAGAGTAGCTGGAATTAAGATGTGCCAAGTCACACTCATTCTTTTATCTTGAGATACTGAACTGTTACGTAGGAAGAACACAACCAAACGTGATATGAAGCTGTGCACATTGGTAACCACACTGGTGAGCCCATCAGCTACCTGATCGTGTTCTGGAGTTGTTTTACAAGGTGGAAAAAAATCATAAAAATTATTTTAGAAATACAGAAGCACATCTGTAAGCTGACAAAACAGTAATTTATATCTGTTAGTATATAATATTGACATATGTCAATCACTAAAGACCAATCTCTTTAGTACTGCATTGTACTCAAAATTATTCTGCACATGCTATGTATGAGAAAAGGAGACTACTAAATGCCACAACTATTTTATTGTATACATGAATTCAAATATAGTTGAAAATCATCGCCAAGAATAGTGAAATTGAAGTAATTCAGAATTTTCTCAAGAAAAATCACACATTTTTTATCAGCATGGGAGACTTTTCATTAACCCAGACAAACCCTGTGTTGTCTGTATCTATGGCAACTAATCAGAGTTACACAGATAAAAGCACTAATAAAAGAACAAATGGTTGTAAATTGTTTACATCCTCTGTGTCCTGTTCCCAAATCACACACAGACACAACTACACATCAATACTAGTTTTTGTATCAGTGAACTTCTAGTTATAATTTTAGGAAAACTTAAGACATTCGAGCCAGGAAAAACCACATTTAATTTATATAGAACACTGCTCTTCGTTTTGAGACTGCTCACGTACATGAGTTATGGTGACTTCCTGTCCCCTTCCATCCCAGCCTCTCCTTTTACTGCCTCCTCTCCTTTCTCCTTTAATCCCTTCTTGGACCACACCAAGTGACTGGTGACTGCCTTGAACTGGGCAGCTGCAAAACCCACGGCAGAGCAAGGAAAGAGCAGAGAGCAACCAAATCATCTTGTGCTCCACCCGTTCCTCACAGGCCTCCGGGGAGGTGGGTGCAAGGGGCTTTCCTGACACTGCCCCCAACTCCTGCTCTCACCAGGACTGAAGAGAAAATCAATCCATGGCAAATCAGATACAGGAGTTTGTACCCACCCCGGTGCCGTGCTCCCCATTAACCTCCAACCCAAGACCCCCTGAAACAGCAGAGTCTGTCCACTTCAACAGGCTTTAATGCTCTTCAGCACCCCAACAGCTGATGGGTAGGGAGCTCACAATATTTTAAATAACAGTGTTGGACTGTCCAGCTTAATTCAACTTTTGGAAGCTACTACCTAGCTTGAAATGATGGCTTCAGAAGAATAAAGGTAATTACTGGTTCAGTATAAACATTTTGAAGCAATTCTGGATTTATGCCAGATATGACACAGGATTTGGGCCACCCTTCTCAGCCTGTTTGCTATTTTCAGGATTTTCCTCTGAGAAAACTCATGCTGTTGGCAAAGAGAAATATAAACAGTTCAGAATAAAACACTGACCAAAGACTTGGTAGATCAGTAGGTAAATATACAACACTCTGCCCCAGAAACACGCTCTCACAGTGACAGGGCAGATGTTAAAGCAAATTCTGTGCACAGAGAAGCCAACGAAGCCTCATTTCTGACAGCTGTGCCACAGTTCTCTGGTGCTGCTGACCCCAGCAAACCTGGCTCCTTTACAGAGGGTTCATCACCTCTTACCTCTCCACAAATACTCAAGTCTGCTGCTCTTCACCAACCACAAACTGCCCCTGCCTCCCAAGCCTTCACCCCTCTCAAACTGCCTGGGAACTCGTCCACGGTTGGCTCCTCTCCCATCCTCACGGACGGGTGGGTCCTCCAGGGTGACCCTGCAGGCTCAGGGGCTCCTCAGCCACCCAGGAACGTGTGGCCCCAGGCCAGATGTGCCCCAGAGCTCACAGTGCAGTCTGTTCCTCTCTGGTGAGCTCAGCACGTCTCTCTTCCTGCACCCAAGCCAACAGTTCACACGGAAGCTGTGGAAACTTAAAATCTCAAGCTCCTTCCTACCTCTGTCCCTTTTCTGCTGGGCCCCATCACTGGATTTCATCTGTATTTCCCAAAAGGTTTAAAGGCTACTGGGAAAGAGGACTCAGACAGACACACCTCTTCCAAAATATTCATGGGCAAACTCCCCCACTGCTCAGAAAGTAGAAGTGTCTTTGTGCATTAAATTACAATAATTACAGCAGCAGGTGGACGGAAATGAAACCAGGTAACTCCCCAAAGTGTGCTGTTCCCTGCTCGAGATAGAAGTGCTTTCACATAAGAAAGCACATGTAATACAAAATCTCCATTTATTTTTATAACAACGATTTCTACTGTTGAACAATTAAATCATTTATTACCCCAAACCTGTGGACCTTCAGCTTTTGAATTACAGAACCATGGAAATACAGTACAATATTCTTGTCAGGGAACAGAAAGATAAAGGCAAATAGAAGATTGCATTTAATATTTTATCCATCCTTCCTTCACCAGAAAACAATTCAGTCCTGACATCTCTCCTTTGAACAGAGTCTTGATCGGGGCTATTGCTTCTCTGAGAGCCACAGACAAGGCAATAATGATAAAAGATCCGCTGGGTTTCTTCCCACGGCTCATCCTTGTGGCAGACCTGTCTGAGAGTGGGAATCCCACCACAACAGTTCAGAGCCCAGCTACCTATGGAGTAAAACACATCAGGAATTCCTCCCCTCCGAGCTCCGTGTGCTGCAGAGGAGTGGGAAGATAAGGTATCTGTTAGTGTGCTCTGATGAATAAGAGGCCTTGAATCACAAGAAACATTCTGGAGATATTCTGCAGCAATTATGTTTACTTGCATAAAATGCTATTAGATCTTTGGCTGAGAGGCACATGAAAAACAGGTATAATATTACGTATGATTAGCTGTCCCACGTAAATTAGGGTTTAATTCAACACCTACTGAGGCTAATAGTAATGATTTCACTGAAACATCCTTAAATTAGGATGCCCCTAAAGTACAGAAAAGTAA